GGGGGGGTGCCGCTGCGGCTGCCATTCCGCGCAAAGTGGCAGGTCCTAGCAGAGAGGGAGGCAGCCGTCCGCAGGGGGCCCCAGCTGACTGAGCAGGTCCGCGAGGTCTGGGAGGCAGCGCAGCCCCCGCCGCCAGCTGGAAAGAAAGGAGGGGGGCGTGAGCCGAAAGGAGCAAGAGGGGGCTGGCAGCAGGGGGAGGCGAGGGCAAGAAAATGATGGAGCGCAGGGGAGAGGGGGCAGCCAGGCAGCACCCAGATTCGACATACCCGCCCAAAGAACTCCCGTGCACATGGTGCGATGAAATATGTTTGGAGGGCTATACCAATAAAAAGAATCATCATCGGGCAGGCTTCAGAATGACAAATAACAGGCATTGATATTCATCGTCATCCAAGGAGTCAAATGCTAGATCTGGTGGGATGTTATTCTTAGTGCATATTTACACAAAGCATCAGTGCTTATAATTTATATTTAAGCTATGGCTTCTGAATTACTTTACTGAACACAAGCAGTATTTATGATCAGATGTGAAAAACCTAAGACGGCAAAGACATTTACTTATTGTGGAAATGCACTTCAACATGTTTCAAAATGTATTCTTCACTTTAAGTAATCTATTCTCAATAAAAATGTGAGTAATGTTGATCTTCTGTGACGAATTACACTATCTTTTAATAGCCTTTAAAACTGAATTAGTATTTAGTTTAGTATTCACAATGTTAATTACGTGGACACAATTTTACAAAAACTGATAATAAAATGTTTCAGCTATGAATACAAGTTCTACCCCTTTATCTACTTTCTCTTGAACATATTCTACTAGACATTTGTGAGTAAAATTAAAAGGCAAACTGACTCAGCAACATCATTTGGATATTTCCTAATTAGTAAATTGCTTATTTAAATATCTCTGACAGCAATTTCTTCTAATTCTTATTGTAGAGAAACGTCTTTCATACAGAACCACATGGGTTTGTCTCTTTTGTTCTCTTTTATCAGTACTAATAGAAGAATGGGTGTGAAGTCAATGTTCTTTATCTTTTCTCTCTTTTTGTCTTTTCCCCCAATAATGATCTCTTATTATTAATTTCTTAGCAAAACCACCGTAATTCAAGGCATTTAGCCAATTAAAACCTCAACAAATAGAAAGCCAATGAAAACTATTCTTATCCAGTCAGTAATTTTCAGCCAAAAAAAATGTAAAAAGCAGGAAAACTACTCTTCATGAATTTACTTCAACACAATTAGACAAGAGTTTAAAATGAGGAAGCTACTGTTTCCAAAAGAGGAAACCTTTCATAGGGCTCCCTTGGGACACTTGTCATTTTGCAGAGCCTTCTAGACACAGCCCTTCTGCATGCATTAGATTAAAAGCAAGTTTGATCAAATAATTCCCAGGTCCTGCTGGTTTCAGTATTCTGACATCAGAGGAAATTAGCTATGTTGAAGGTTGCAAATTTGGTCTTTGTTTACTTTCCACTCTGTTAGGCCTCTAAGAGGGAATTAAAGGCTCAGAGAGCCCTAGCTCTGTGAGTCTGTGATTAGGAAAGATAAGCTAGCATAGATTATTATTTCTTCATTGGTGAAAAACAGGCAACAATCAAAAGATTATAAATTGATAAGGGATACAAAGGAACACTGATCCTAACTAACGTATGGCTCCCTGAAGGAGAAGCACCTCTTTCAACAGTCACACAGCAGAGGAAAATGAGACTCTCTATTGCTTCCTGGAGTCTGTCTTCTCAGGGAATACTCTGCAATATCATTCCACAAGGAAGAGTTTTCCTACCCTATTTGTATTTCCCAGCTATTGTTAATCTCCTGAACACTGCAATTCTCCAATTCTAGGATTTCAATGTACAAGTATTCTGCTAATAGCAGCCCATTCTAAACATTCTTGTGAAGCCCGGAATCAATTCGCCAAGTGGAAACTCATTATATCACAGGGCAGAGAATCTAAGGAGTCAAGTTAGTAGCACAATTTAATGTGCAGGGTAATTATCTAGCCCTTGGAAAAGCCATCAGATGCTCTACTTAATAGCTTAATGTCAAAAGAAAATTTAAGATTCTTATCCTTGTGTTTCTCTATGGTTGTATCATAGTCACTCAACTACTCAAGAGTTTGAACAGTAAAGGAAAACTTCGAGCACTTTGCGTTAAGAACCAGGCTCAACTTCTAAGGCAAAATTTGCTGCCATTGAAAGACACAAGCAGAGTGACATATTCTGCAGTAGTGTTTGGAAATAGCAATTAGTTTCCTTCATTTCAATTTATACAAAGCTTAGAGGGTTTCTCTCTCACACACACACATAATCATTAGTAGTAGTGAAGACATTTCTGGATAAGGTCATAGAAACTAAGCCATATAAACATTTGTCTCCAAAACTGACATATATCTGTTCATAAAAATGTCACTGTTGCACTTGAGGACAAAAACATATGGGTCTCTGAGGAAACAAAAGTGATTATGTCGTGTGTGTGTGTGTGTGTGTGTGTGTGTGTGTGTATGTTTCTTTTAGTGTCCAGCTAGATAAATCCCACCAATAAAGCTTATACATGGCAAGAAAAACCAAGATATAACAATCTTTATTTTGTAGAATATGATATAAATAATACACAAATGTTTAACGACATGATGTCAAAACTTAGTCATGAGAAGTCTCTAGAATGCAGATTAAATTGACCATCTGTATAGCCTGCCATGAAGTAAATAGTTGCTCTTTTTCATGAATTCTTCAAGTATTAATAAGCCAGAGCCACAACAGTTTTCCAAGCTCGTAGATGACAAAAGCAAAGCATATTTTTTT